CACCAAACTTGACTGCCCCAGAAATACCCCTATTCAAGGCTTCACCTGGCATCACAATAACAGTAGATGTTTGTGAGCCAGTTAACTATTTTAGCCTCTTTATGTCTGACAACATATTTGAGCTGATGATTGAGCAAACAAACTTGTTTACCAGCCAGTTTCTTTCTGAAAATCAGTCACATAACAGTAAAATTAAATGAGGAAGCACTCTACTGATCTTATAGAAATTAGAACATTTTGGACTCTAACCCTAGTAATGGGTATTGTAAAAAAGGCCATGTATCAGGTCCTACACATGGCACAAGCACCCCATCCTAGCTACCCCCCATTTCCCAGGAGTTATGAACAGGGATCTCAGGGCTTTTGTGTTACCTCCATTTTAATGATAATGCACTGTGTCCCCTTGGAAATAACCCAAAATTTGATATTGTCTAGAAAATGTCATTCCCTATCGAACTCAAAAATTATATCCCAGACCAAAATATTTGTATTGAAATATTACGGTAGATTTATTTTCAAACAGTATATCCCATTGAAGCGATCACAATATGGCATCAAATGTTATAATTTATATGCTTCCACTACTGGCTATGCATGGGCATTTTGGATTTATCAAGGGAAGAATCAACATATTGACCCACCAAGATGTCCTGATTGTGTGGGCACAAATGGCAAGACTATGTTTTATCTGATCCTTCCCTTGTTAAAATAAGGGTTATCATCTATGGGTTATTATATTATACCAGTATAGATTTATTTAAAATTTTATTTTGAAACACAAGCATGTGGTACAGTGGGTAAAACATGTAAAGTTTTTCCTCTAAACCCTAACAAGCAGCAGAAGAAGTAGAGGCTCCTCTTCAGCTTTACATCATGATGAGGTGCTGGCCTTTCAGTTCACAGATAAGAAAGATGTATACATGCTGTCTACAATGCACAGCAAAAGAATAGTTCTAGTGTTTGTCAGAGAAAGAACTGAGCAGCTGTAAACTACAACAAGTATATGGAGGGAGTAGGCTTGGCTGATCAATGTATAGAGCCTTATCCTGTGAACCAAAAAAGTAGGTCCTGGGACAAGAAAATTGAAATCTGTTTAAGCCAGGTTGCAATTTTCAACTCCTATGTGCTGTATAAAAAAGGCAACCACAGGGAATACTACATGGCTACTAGGAATAACTAGACATATCCCATTTTGAATACCCTGGGTTTTCTAATTTTGCAAATGGTATGCCATGTTGGGGTTAATTCTGCCATATGGTCTCAAAGGCAACACAGGCCCAGCAAACGAACCTGGCAAATTTCAATGGGTAAAAACTAAAATGCGCAAGTCCTATATTTGACCCTTTAACTTTCCAATACACCATAAAACCTGCACATCGGGGGCATCATTGTACTCCAGAGACATCACATCATATAAATCAGTGTGTTTTATTGCAGTATTAGCTAACAGTATTATGACATTCACTGTCAAACTACCATGCAGAACTTGAAAAAGAACACATCTTTTATTCTCACACATTTTAGATTTTATTCATATTAAATTAAGTTCCATATATAAATATATAATGTGAAATGAAAGCCACTTTTCTCCTGAACAAAATGATATATATTAACTGTTGGCGCACTTAATATGAAAGAGGTAAATTATGGTTGAATTAACATATAGCTCAAATTCCAGGTTTTATTTCGGTCAGAACTTGTACAATTGCCTCTGAAGTAAATTTCCAAATTTAACCCCTTAAAGCTGGATTGACTTTTAATTCTCACTTTAGTAAATAACCCTATAAATGCTATTAGCTTCGCAACAAACTACTCAAAGTCTTGCTCCGCACCCAACATTATTTGTCCACACATTTTATGGACTCCATGGATAACCATTCACGCAGTCATTTTCTGGAGGCTCTGACAGTGTTTCTAGATTTTTTTTTCATTAATATGTATGTATGTTTTTGAATTTTTCATTTTTTCTAATGAACCATATATCCTAATTACAATATACCAATAATTTATTTTTTTAATTTCTGGCTAATGCAAGCAGTAATTGATTCAATTTTCCAATGTCAATATTCTGCTTGAGTTTCACCCCAACTAAATAGAATTTAGCTGTGCACTTACTGCGACTAAAACAATTTGTTCAACTTTCGTCCTCCTGTCCCTTGAAAAGTCCATCAAACCTAGAAAGTGTAATCTCAGTAAATTAAATCATATGCAGAGGCTTGTAATGTTTCAAATAGGCAGTGTGAATAATGAGTCACGCTACAATAACGCCATTTAACTTCATTATGCCCTGGTGCTTGTTGAGAATTTCTCCAAGCACATTACCAGTTTTAAACTTCTGGTAAACAGCATTTGTAAGATTTGATTTACATTAGACTTTTTTTTTGAGATTTGGACGAATTTGAGCTGATCAGCTTTTTGCCCAAATTCTGTATGTCCAAAGTACCATGCTGACATCAAAGGTAGCACATGACAAGTCAATGCAAAATATGTTTGGATGCTTGGTTGTTTCTGAATTGCACTAATGGTTAGGCAATATTGTAAACATTTTTGCATTGCAGCATAGTTATAGGCACCATATTTTTATGCTTTTTTTGACTGTCCAAATGATTTCCTGAGCGTCTGAAAATTTCTATTTTGGGAAAAATTTAGTTAGACGAAGCAAAAAGTCAATTTGCTTTAAAACCAGTGAAGATAATTAGTAAATAAATGTTCAATTTCAACGGTTTTTGGACTTAGATGACCACAGTGAAAAATGCAGAGAGATTTACTAATTTATTTGCAATGCAACTGAAACAAAGACAGCAGCTTTTTTATATGTGACTCCCAATAGGTGTTATAGACAAGGCTTTATTAATGTCCTTTGACAACTAATATATACCTAGAGATAACAAAATATGAGGTAGAGCATACCTTACTTCTACATCTCTTTCATTTCTTCAAGTCAAGCATGACAGCCAGTGGCGTACACATAACCCATGGGGCCCCAATGCAAAAATGATCCATGGGCCCCCCCTCCCCACCTTCGCTCTCGCCCTCCTCTACCTCTCCCCCCGACAGACACACACACACCACACACACACATACATACAGAGACATACATACACACACGACACATACATACAAAGACACATACATACTAACAGACAGGCAGACACACATACATACAGACAAGGCACACATACATACAAACAGACAGGAACACATACATACAGACACACACATACACACAGACACATACACATATACAGACAGACAGACAGACACACACACACACAAGACACACATACATACAAAGACACATACATAAAAACAAACAGGCACACACACATACATACAGAGAGACACAGACACACACACACACGACAAACATACATACAAAGACACATACAAACAGACAGGCACACATACATACAGACAAGACACATACATACATACATACATACAAACAGACAGACAAGCACACATACATACAGACAAGACACATACATATAAACAGACAGACAGGCACACATACATACAGACAGACAGGCACACATACACACAGACAGACAGGCACACATACACACAGACAGATACAGACACACACAAGACACACATACAGACAAAGACACATACATACATAAAAACAGACAGGCACACATACATACATACATACAGACAGACAGACAGACACACATATACATACATACACACAGACAGACACACACACACACAGACAGACACAAAACACACATACATACAAAGACACATACATACATACTGATAGATAGACAGACACAGACAGACAAACACACACACACACATACACTCACACAAGACATACATACAAACAGACAGGCACACATATATACAGACAGATAGACACAGACACATACATACAAACACACACATAATATTTAAGTCACCTTCCTGTTTTCTACTTTTTTAGGTGCAGGAGGGTGACTTTCCCTGGGGTCCAGTGGTGGCTCAGGCTGGTGGGAGTCAGAGTTCCCACTCTGACTCCCTCTGCTTCCTCCTGCGCGGGCTCTGTGTGTTAGCTGGGAGGAGTGAAGTGCAGTCACTTCCTCCCAGCAGTGATAATCTCATCACAAGGGGGCCCGGTCACGCTGTTAAAGCGCTCAGCGCCGACCGGGCCCCCTGACAATCCATCTCCATCGGGTGGCCCTGACAGCATGGGACACCCAATGGGCACCTTAACATGCGGCCCCGGGACCACAGATGATGATGGCGGGCACCAGGGCCGGACTGGGAAAAAAATTTGGCCTGTGCATTTTTCAATCACAACGGCCCCCTGAGAAAGGGGCGGGGCCAGAGAGGGTGTGTTTTGTCATCACTAATGACAAGCACAACCCCTCTCAAAGTGAGCATGTTAGTTCAATGCGCAGAGCTCTGCTGAAGAGCTCTAGCATGAGAAAATTGCCCTGTATTTGAGCTGTGTTTGCTTTTAACTTGTCTCTGGTGTCTCCATAAGTGGGATACCAGAGGACAAAAGGGCCAAAAAAGCATATGGTGCATGTGTTTGGAGCCTGCTTGTGGGATTGCGTGTGTGTTGAGTAAACTGATTGTGGTGTGGTATTGTGTAAATAGGTCAATATAATTTGTGTTTGTGGTGTAATATGTGTGGCTAGGGGCTGTAGCGAGTGTTTACGGGGGGCATAGTGTGTATAGGGGATGTAGTGAGTGTGTGCATACGGGCTGTAGTGTGTGTTTGTGTGTTTGTATGTCAGGAATGTAGTGTGTGTAGGTGGTGCAGTGTGTGTAGGGGATCTTGTGTGTAAAGGACCCAGAGTGTGTATAGGAGATTGTGTGTGTGTGTGTGTATAGAGGGTTCAGAGTGTATATAGGGTAAGGGATCTAGCGTGTATCTGGAGCGTAATGTGTGTAGTGGTGCTGTAGTATATAATATTGTAAAGCGCTACAGAATCTGTTGGCGCTATATAAATGGCAATAATAATAATATTATGCATGATGCACCCTTCACACATACACACAGCACACCCAACACACTGCACCCTTCAGACATACAATACGTCCAAACACACACACATATATATATATATATATATATATATATATATATATATATTTGGATGTATTCTATATATATATATATATATATATATTTGGACATATTGTATGTGTGAAGGGTGCAGTGTGTTGTGTGTGCTGTGTGTATGTGTGAAGGGTGCAGCATGTGTGTGAAGATTGCAGTGTGTGTGTAAGAGGGGTGCTGTGTGTGAGGGTGTTCTTATCTACTGTCACATTCTATGTTTCTAATTTTTTTATCTGTTAACTTTCTGAGGGTTATTTTATATATTATTTTTGTATAAGTGTGAGAGTGTGCTGTGTGTGAGTGTGTTGTGTGACTGAAGGTCATGTGTGTGTCTGAGGGTGCTGTGTGAGTGAAGGTGTTGTGTGTGTCTGAGGGTGCTGTGTGTGTGTGTGTGGGTGCTGTGTGTGTCTGAGGGTGATGTTAGTATGAATGTGCTGTGTGTGTGTGTGTGTGAGTGTTCTTAGTATGAGTGTATATAGTACAGTGTTTGTATAAATATGTTTTTTTTTTTTTTTTAAACTAAAAACTATGTATCCTCTCCCCCTCCCTTCTTACCTTTAGCCTGGGAGGGGGTGGGAAGCTGGGTTTCCATGGGGGGGAGCCGTTCTGCCATGGAGGGTGCTGCCTTCCCTGGTGGTCCAGTGGTGAGAGTTCACTCTGGACCACCAGGGAAGGCAGCACCCTCCATGGCAGAACGGCTCCCCCCTGCAGGCTAGAGTTCACTCTCGTGAGATCTGAGCGTTGCCGTAGTAACTGCTAGAGCTCCGCCGGTCCTCTCCTCCCTCACTCTCCTGCCGTCGGCCGCATCTCAATACCTCTGGGCCGGTGAGGGAGATCTTTGATCTCCCCACCGGCCCATGGAGGCACACAGCAGGGCCGACGATCGGATAGTGCTGGCCCTGCAGGGGCTGGCAAGGGAGATCCTGTGATCTCCCCTGCCGGCCTCGGCCCACGGCCATCGCGGCCCACCAGGCATTTGCCCGGTATGCCCGATGGCCAGTCCGGGCCTGGCGGGCACCCGGTCGCAGGGGTCTGCAAGACGGCCAGGCCCCTTGACGGCCAGGCCCCCCGGTCGCAGCTGCGACTCCTGGGACTGCGGTATGTACGCCAGTGATGACAGCCATAATGACCTCCAGATGTATGAGAACAAAATAATTGAGGGACTACAACATATATATTAAAACTTAATATCCTGATCAAGCAAAAACTGTTCTCCAAATATTGAGAACATTAGCATATATTAAAAGACTGGTAATATATCCCAAATATATCCCAAGACCATATCATAGAAAAACTTAGAAAAGGAGATTTTACCTAAAAGAAAAGAAAGTGATTATTAACTCTTAGAACACTATTGGTATAGTATATTCCATTATACATTTGCAATATTACAGCAAATTATCCTTGTACATAGTAATTTTTTATTAAAAAATGTAAAGTATAAACATTAAATAGAATTAGTGATATGACATTTCCAAGACTCCTTGCTCTGTGTCACGGTTTGCTCCCATCTCTGCAGACTGACAGTCGTGATTGTGCCATTGAGAAATCTGACTGGACTTGAATTCTGTTTTTTATCATTTCCAGTCACTATAGACTGTGATATTTACAAGGGTGATCATTATCTCTGTATTCTGGACTCCAACCCCAGGTAATCCCTGACACTCTCTCATCCCATAGAGGTAATCATAAATAATGTTTTGTATATCCCCAAACTCTATATTCCATTGTATGTATAAATATTACTCTCAAGGTGACTTGGAACTTTTGGGTAACGTGCGTTTATTTAATGTGGAGTACAGTTACAAACCAGTTTGTATTTTCTAAAGTTTTCTGAATTTGTTCCTTGAATTCAATACTTAAAGTAGTAATAAAGCGAGCCCAATCTAGAAGAATTTCTTGATTTATTTTAGCAAATGCAATGTATGTCTTTAATGAGGCGGGATATTCAGGTCTATAATAGTGTATATGAAAATTAATAATAACTCTAAGGATAATTTTCATTGGCACCTTGGAATATATTAGAAACGTTTCTCTTTTTGTGGCAAAATTGAGATTCTTTCACAATATAATAATATGTATATCGTAGTACATAATGGCCTGCATCTTTGTTCATTCAGTATTAGCACACAGCTATGTAACTATGGTATGTAACCGAGGAGCATCATTGTATTATTGTTGGATTGTGGAAAATACCATTTAGCTGTTTGTAAATTTCTCAATGTTACTGACTTGATGAGGATACAATGTCACTGTGTTATTGAGTTTAACTGTGTGGCTTCATCTGGAGAAAAAAAACCATTAGCAAAATACATTTATTTCAGTATGTATTATTTGTAGTCATATATTCTCTTTAGTATTGTATGACTAAGGAGATATTTTGTTTTCCTTCTATCGAGGTGACAATTGGTGCTCGGTGAAGAGATTTGACATTGTATTATTCCTCCATCAAGTACAATAGATGAAGAAGCAACACAGCACAGTCAATAAAATATAATCAGAAACAGAGTATCATTCTATCCTATATATACACTGTATACAAGATTTATATAACTATATCTTCAGCTAATAGCTTTAAATATTTATCTTTATGTGGAGAGTTACATTATGTTCATCCAATAGCATTCATGTTATATCTTAACTGGTTTTACTTGGTCTCTTAAAGAGTTACTCCAAAAAAAACAGTTTTCATAAAACAATGGTTTTACTTTTAAAAATATTTCTGAGGTGGTCTACTCTCAGAAAGACAGATTGATGGGAGGAGAGGGGCAGCAGAGGAAGAAGGGGTGCATGCCAGTGGCATAGCAAGGTGGCGGCGGTCTGCCCCGGCTGCACTTTTGAGGGGCGAAAAGGTCCCTGCTGACTCCCATACTCCCTCCCACCTCTGAGTGAGACCTGGCAGCGATCCTGCTCTGCTTGCTAAGTCTCTGTGCGGGGCAGTGAGTGAGGGGGCGGGGCAGTGAGTGAGGGGAAGAGCGGGGCAGGAGGCATGGGAAGTGGGGTACTCCTGTGCTCTCCTGTCCTGCAAGTGAGGAGGAAGAGCAGCCTGACAGAAACATCAGGTGTGTCTCTTTCCCTGCTCCCTCCTACTGCACTGCCCTCTTCCTGCCTCCCCTGTACAGATCCTCTCCCCTTCATCCCTCATAGTTCCTTTCTACTCCCTGCACACATCCCTCTCCCTCCATCCATGACAGTTCCCTGCCTCCCCTGGAGCACAGATCCCCCCTCTCCCTCCATCCCTGACAGTTCCCTGACACACCCCCCTGCCTCCCCTGCACAGATCCCTCTCCCTCCATCCCTGATACAGTTCCCCCTCCACTGCACAGATCCTCTCTCCCCTTCATCCCTGACAGTTCCCTGCCTCCCGCACAGATCCCCTCTCCTCCTTTCATCCCTGACATCCCTGACAGTTCCCCTGACAGTTCCCTGCCTCCCTGCACAGATCCCTCTCCCTCCATCCCTCCATCCCTGACAGTTCCCTCACTCCACTGCACAGATCCCTCTCCCTCCATCCCGACAGTTCCCTAAGCCTCCCTCTGGTGATCCCCTCTCTCTCCCTTCATCCTGACAGTTCCCTGCCTCCCCTGCACAGATCCCTCTCCCTTCATCCCTGATAGTTCCCCTGCCTCCCCTGCACAGATCCCTCTCCTCCATCCCTGACAGTTCCCTGCCTCCCCTGCAGATCCTCTCCCCTCCATCCATGATAGCTCCCCACTCCCTGCACAGATCCCTCTCCCTCCATCCCCATAGCTCCCTCACTCCCTGCACACATCCCTCTCCTCCATCCCTGACAGTTCCCCACTCCCCACTCCCCTGCACAGATCCTCTCCCTTCATCCCTGACAGTTCTCTGCCTCCCCTGCACACATCCCCTTTCCCTCCATCCCTGCCTCCCTGCACACATCCCCTCTCCCTCCATCCCTGACAGTTCCCTGCTACTCCCTGCACACATCCTCTCCCCTCCATCCCTGACTCCCCACTCCCTGCACACATCCCTCTCCCTCCTCCATCCCTGACAGTTCCCCACTCCCCTGCACATCCCTCTCCCTCCATCGCTGACAGTTCCCACTCCTGCACAGATCCCTCTCTCCCTCCATCCCTGACAGTTCCCCTGCCTCCCTGCACAGATCCCTCTCCCTCCTCCATCCCTGATACAGCTCCCCCACTCCCCTGCACAGATCCCTCTCCCTCCATCCCTGGACAGTTCCCCAGTTCCCTCTCTACCCTGCACATCCCTCTCCCTCCATCCCTGACAGTTCCCTCACTCCCCTGCACACATCCCTCTCCCTCCATCGCTGACAGTTCCCCACTCCCTGCACAGATCCCTCCCCCTCCATCCCTGACAGTTCCCCTCACTCCCCTGCACAGATCCCCTCTCCCCCTCCATCCCTGACAGTTCCCCTCACTCCCCTGCACAGATCCCCTCTCCCCCTGACTAACTTACAGTCCCCCTCCCTCCCCTGCACATATTCCCTCTCCCTTTCTGACAGTCCTCCTCCCTTCCCTGCACAGATATCCTCCTCCTCTGCCTCCCCTGCACAGATCCACTACCATGCATGTATTTATTGGGTGTATATCTTTTAAAAAGCTTGAAAAGGTCTGGTGCAGCCACGGACATCCGCAACTGCACCGGACATGACGTGGGTCGACATAGGGGCGGCATATTCAGGTGCAGCCCCGGCAGCAAAAGCTCTAGCTATGTCACTGATGCCACCATTGATACCATTTTCAGTAAGAGTGGACATTAGTCAGCTTAGAACTTTGTTTTGGGCTGGCAAATGATACTGCTAGACGTGGAGTTACACCTCTGGCAGCTAAGGGGCTTATCTCTGTATGTGCAGTGTTTGAAAACAAAATGCTGCACATACATACAGACTGCAGGCACCACACGACTTCAAATCAATAAAGTTGTCATGGTGTTTGGAGTAACCTTTTCAATTCTGGACAACCAGTTATTTACATTTATTTATGAAGTCTTCTTCATCTCTTACAGGGAAAAAAAATAAAAAAGATTTTGGATTGAGAAGGTTCATTGACTACAATTGTAAATTATATTTTGTGTATCATTTGAAATTTACTAAGTATGTCTTCAAAATCCTTTGATTTG